CAGCCTCAATACGACTTCTGAAATGTCGATCAAATAAACAGTTTCAAAGTAGATAGGTTGTCTAACTCATTTAAAAACACAGTTCCTTTTGACGGCCTTCATTGGTTTAACAGTAATTTTGAGGATTGTAAAGTTAGAATTCATGGTTCTATCGTTGCAGCGGGCACAGCGTCGATATTATTTTGTATTTTTTGCAGTTTTGCGCTAAAACAACAAATCTACTGATGGTGATGAATAAAGGTGATTACCGTAAATCCATCAAGCATTTCATTTTGGTTCTATTTTGATGAAAGCACTTTTAATTTTCGATTATATTATTTCTTGATGAATCTCATTGAGTTATATATCGTTTCCGTGATTTTGCGTATTTCATTTTTACTTTGCGTTTTTGTTATATTACATAAAAACTGCCCAACATTGTAAAGACACAGTAACAATTATTAGTGGCAATTTGCTACTACACATCTTTACTATCACTGATAAAATTAACATAAACGAATGGCTTCATATAAATAACAATTTACTTTAAGTATCGCGCTGTATACTTTACTCCCCAGAAGACCATTACAAATGAGGTTATGTAGTTTGTTTTTTTTACACCTGCTATGTAATCCTATATTGAAACACAATTCTGGAGCCTAATATTGTCTCAACATGGCGAGTCCAGTATGATTTTTTACTATTGTTCAAGTTAACGAACGTTCTTATAATTGCCTGCAGTAACAATAAAACAACAAAAACAAAATTTCATCCCATTTTATTGTTCTAGATTTGGTGGGCCATTTTAGGTTCTGAAAGACTCATTCTTTGAAAAAAAGATATTGTTGTAAGTTGTTATTTGCTTTTTATCTAAAGGGAGGCGCGGGGCGTAATGCTGACGTTAAGATAGAAATGTTTAATAATATAGACCTAGAATTTTTTTTAAAGATTTAATATCAAGCTTTCAAGTAAATTCGACAGTACATTATAATTACGAGGTTCGGAAATGATAATTCAAAAGAAACTTGTTTCTACTCAATATAGTGAATCAGTTCTTGTTTCAGTTAGTGATGGCTCAATCAATTTTGATTGTCTGCTTTGAATTTTGCACAAAGCTACACGAAGGTTATCTGCGCTAACCGGCCCTAATTTAACAGTGAAAGACTACAGGGAAAATAGTTAGCCATCACCACCTACCTACCAATGAATAATGGGATTGACCGTCACTTTATAAGCCCCAACGGCTGAAAGGGCGAATATGTTTGGTGGGACGGAGATTCGAACCCGCGACCCTCAGATTGCGAGTCGAGCGCCCTAACCACCTGGCCATGCCGGGTTTGGAGAGCATCAAACACGCAACTCTGTTGACGAAGCTTATAAAACAAAAGCTATTGATTTGTTATCTCATTAAATTTCCTAATAATGAATTGAATTATTACATTTCTGAGTGTTGGATTGTCGATAAACTTAAGAATATTCGTTGCATAATATCAGTTGGTCGTCAATCTGGTTTGGCCTTCATTGATTTTATTGTTTAATATTAGGACTTTTATTCGTCACGTATTTCGTAACCTGAGAAAAATTATGATGCATCATGATTCCGAATTACCTGTGTCCCGTGATCTTAGTCATGAATAAAGCTGCCTGTGGTACGCCGTACTCCATTCACTACTTTATCCTACCTTGTAAGATATTAAGTAATGTTTACACCGTTTTGGAATAACAGCTTTAGAGAAACAGGAACCGGTCTTTGGAGTTTTGATAATGAAAATTTTTACGTTAGATAATACAGTTAGTATGGCTGTAAACGTGGCCTACAAGTTACAATAGTCTTGTAGAAACGTTAACGGAAGAAAAAGCAAATTTGTTATTTTTAAACGGTTTGTTTGTTTGTTTGTTTTGAATTTCGCGCAAAGCTACACGAGGGCTATCTGCGCTAGCCGTCCCTAATTTAGCAGTGTAAGACTAGAGGGAAGGCAGCTAATCATCACCACTACCGCCGCCAACTCTTGGGCTACTCTTTTACCAACGAATAGTGGAATTGACCGTCACATTATAACGCCCCCACGGCTGAAAGGGCGAGCATGTTTGGTGTGACGGGGATTCGAATCCGCGACCCACAGATTGCGAGTCGAGTGTCCTAACAACCTGGCCATGCCGAGCGGTTTTTTAAACGAATAGACATTAATTATTTTCACCATATAATTTGAAAGGGTCAGCCAACAAAAGAATAACGTTACCGCAACTGTTTGCAGAAATTGGATTATTTTGGAGAAAATTACTTAGAACTTTGAATATACATGACATTGAACTTCAACTGTTGAAGAGAACGACCACAAGGCAAAAAATGAAATGATTAAATTTAGTAAGACAAGATCAGGAGGGACAAGACAGAAAATTAAAAGAACACCAAGAAGAAATTTAAAGAAAATGAAAAAAGGACAACAAATAAAGATGTAAAAATAGAAGAAGACTAATAAGAATGAGACAAAAGATGGAAAAAATTAAAAAAAAAGCAGGAAGAATGGGATCAAAAATTAGAAGAATGTGAGAGGAATTTAAGAAAGGAGCTTAAAAAGAGATATGCTCTTTAATTCAGGAAGAATTAAAACAATTAATTTGAGTGAAGACAAGATGAATACAATTATCGGAGATATACAAAGAGATTACAACAGTGAGATTGAAGAAGTGTAAAAAGGCTGTAATGATAAAAGTGATGAAGTAGAGAAGAATGAGGATATGAGAATTACACTGAAGCAAAGTAGTTGTATATCCCCAAAGAAATGTATACAGTTTTCATGGAACTAGAATCCACCAAAGTCGTGGATAAACAGCTAAAAACATAATCTCAGAGTTACGGGATCGTTAGATCGAATAGTGTTGAAACATCAACTCTCACTGATAACAGTTTAAAATGATTAGTTAGACAACTGGTTACATGGAATTAATGAAATAAACAAGGTAATAACTTAAAAGAACATATTACCATGAACTGCAGACACAATCTTTTACAAAATAAGAACTCCTTCCAAAGGATACTAGAAAGAAGGAACTTATATAGATATGGCAAATTTAGCCATTACAGCCAATATTGTAACGAATCAACACCTGCTATTAAGCCAAGAAGACGATACTCTGAGAATATGCCTTTGAACTCAACCAGATTAAAGGAACAAAAGAAAGCTAATGAGACATCAAAAAGGCAAGAACTAATTGGATTTATGGGGCAAAGTTTAGTAGGGAATACTTCACCTACTCCAACTGAGAAACAAAATTTATTACTTGAGTAAAACCTTCCCCAATCCATGGCTTTTTTGATTAAAAACTTTGCAATATGTTGATCAACACTGGTTCCCCAACTACAAATGTTCAACTCAATTTGTTAATAAAAGGTGAGAAACCGGCTCCAGAGATTAAGAAAGAAGAGGGGGTGATGCAAATAGTAAGTGGACATAAACTTCTGGCAAGAGGAAAATTAGAAGTTACCCTTACTGTAGGAAACTTATCTATGCCTCATGATGTGTGAGTAATAGACGAAGAATACATATAGAGAGTTGACTTTATGCAGATATAGATGCAAGGTGAAGCTAACTTCAAATAGCTTCACAATCTCTGACGAGGAAACCCTTGGGTATTTCATGGCAATTACTACACATAAGGTTGAAATCCAGTGGAAACACAGATGGTGGTTATTGCACCGCCATGAAGTAAAATATTCGTACCAGGAGTTATTAGCAATAATTCTTCATCTAGTATTTTCTTAGGAATGGGTGTCTAAAAGAGTTATGTTGGACGTGAAGAATAAAAATGTTAGGCTTGTCTTTAACCAGGGAAGACTCAAATCAGCTTGTAATAAAACGAAAGGTAACTATAATGCTACTACTAATAAAAATGTATTTCATCAAGGTGACACGGTATGACTGAACAGCTCTCATCGCAAGAGAGGACAAACTTCAAAATTAAGTAAGTGTTCAGGAGGGCCTGAAAAGAATCAAGGATGTTGATGACAGAATACAGAAGTATGGGTGATCCAAGCCAAAGATCATCCACTATGATCATATTTGAATGTACATCAGTGAGAAAATGGGCAACTGGGTAACTCCAAAAAATAACTTGTGAGTGGAATCTCAACATGCAGAGAAGCCTGGAAGTTCTGTCGAGACTACTTCAAGAGCATCACCAATGGTGAAACTACCAGTGGATTCACTCAAACACCTATCTATGATGATAAATTATCCCAGCAACAGGGCAGCCAGTAACAACAAGGTACAAAATGCCATTTTACTCTTTTACCATGGGCCTAGGAAGAGAAAATCACCAAGACCAGTTGGTGAATGGACAGCTTAGTGTAGTGTTATATTTTTGTATTAGGATTTTTCAAGAAACTTCCCAGTCCAGGAAGGGGACAATGCAGTAAGCTTTTTTATTAATGTTGTAATTTATTTGTCAATTAGAGGAAGCTTTGAGTCGTAATGATGACGCATTAAGGTAGAAAGGCTTTGATAATATAACCGTAAATATTTTTATAAGAATTTAACGTCAAATTTTCACGTAAATTCGACCGTGGATTATGAATACGAGGTTCGAAAAAGACACTTCAAAATATAAAGTTATTTCTTGTGAGTAGAGTGAATCAGTCAGACAGTGTTTTTGTTTCGGCTAGCAGTGAATCGGTCAGTATGTTTTGTTTTCAATTACTGGTTTGATCAACCAAGAAGTTGTACAAGTAAGTTTATTTTTACACAAATAAAGTACACTGTATAGTTAACGTGGCCTACAAATTACTACAGTGTTTAAGCTTGTAGAAACGTCACTTTTGGTACAACAATTTCTGGAAGTAATTACCAAGTTTAGAAACATTAAAAAAAACACAATATCCAAAAAATATTTTAAAAGTTAATTAATACTTACATCGTATTATAAATATTCCAAGAAAAGTCCTTACGTGTCTAAAATTCTATCAGTTGAGAAAATTCTATGACTTTTTTTTAACAACTTACATTCCGCCAGGGATAAAATAAACGATTCTATTTTGGTATTCTCGAGTTTCGAAACTTGTCGTTGAACTTAAATGAATGAATTTTTATGGTAGAAACATGTCAGATAATCAGAAAGAGTGAGTTTATATATTACCAAAGATACTAAAAATGTAAAGTACTACTTTCGGGACTTTACAGTTTTATATATATTTTAGATTGGTCCTCATATAATTAGTGTAGTCTTCTTAGGCCTAAAGTAGACATCTGTCACTGACAGTGAAGATACATGTTTATCCTACTAGTACTAGAATTCCTGATTTCTTGTTTATTAAACTTGTTAAAAGTTAAAGTAACTGAGAAGGGAAAACTGTCATGGTTGTCGTGAACAACCTAATTTATATTGTAGTGGACTTTATTTCCGAACATCATTTGTTACCATATTTACTAATTTAGAGCCTAATAGTATTAGTAATACTACTATTATTACTACTAGTAGTAGTAATATAGATATTGTTATAATAATCAATTGACAACTTATATCACTATAATAATTGCTTAAAAATGGTTTTTTGGACAGTAAATTAAATTGTAGATAATGGCATCAGTTATTGTCAGTTACATGTTATGTGCACTGGAATTTGGAATCTTAACCAACATTAGTTACATGTAAGTTATGTGTATCAAATCATTATGGGCATAGCAGCTTCACTGAAAGTGAAAGTTTCAAAAAGTAAAGGAGTTTTCTTACTGTGTTATTTGTAAGCACTTTAAGTTAAATATATATAATTTTTTTTAAAATAATGTTTGTTTATCATGTGTATTACTAAGATTTATAAAATGTATTATTTGTAGTATAATTGTTTCATGTTAATCGTGTTTTGTAGATATCTTATTTTCTTCAGTTTATGTCTGGTGACATTTTATTTACAACTCAGTATTGTACATAGCCTTTACCATTAGTACACAAGAGAGATAGAGAGAGAAAATGCTGAAAGTGTTTTGGCTATACTGCCTCCATCTGAACCCAGGAAAGATCTGTTATTGAATTGAGATAGGCACTTAAACTAGTAACGTTGAAAAGTTTGTATATTTCACTTATTAATGTTGTAAGCACAACATCTTAAACATTAAAGTTAAAACTGAACAAGCAAAAACAATATCATCATAATCATCTTATTCAGTGGTAAATAATGGTTTTCAACACATTTAACTAACTGCTTTTTGTTTCCAAAATGGACAAGGGATTTTTTAAATTATAACTTTTGTTCTTCTTGTACTTTTTCTTAGCTCACTTCTATTTTCTCTTGGTTCTTGGGCAATTAAGAAGTTTCTATAAACTGTCATGTTTCAATACACTTGACTGAAAAACAGATCACGGGACCTTAGTTGTAGCTCAATATATATTTATGTCAGTGATTTGGATAGATTTTTGGGGAATTATATATTATACATAAAAGGGCTTCAAATTTCAGTAATTAGGAAACAATCAAAAAGTATAAAATTGTATTTGTATTGTTGTATACAACCCTGATTGAAATGCTATATATATACATGAAACTACTGTATTAATCACTCATATTGGAGAAAAAACATGCAAATTACATATCAAAATAAAACAGAATATATGCACATGCAAGATGTTAGCAATATTCATTAACTAGTTGAAATATATATATATATATATATATATAACAGACAGTTGTCTTTTGGTAATGTTTCATTCATTAGTGTTGCTTAGCAACAAAACCGTGACCTGATATTGTTGTCTTAAGACCCAAAACATGAAAGCTTTCGAATAGTTGAGTATTTGAGAGTTCTCATGTTTTGGGTCTTTCTTTTGAATTTTATTGAGCATTCCCCTAACTCTCTCATGTGTGGATAGGGTAGTCTGTCTTGAGGGCATAACTTGTACCATTTAATCAAAAAAACATTATAGAGAATAAACTAGTAGTTGTTTTTCCACACAATAAAGAAATGAAATACTTCAGAGTTGAAATTCAATCTTATAAAAAGTTGTTGTTATTTAATTTTATACATATAAAAAATATCACAAATCTTGATCTTGGGCTGGTTTCACTTTCAGTGAGTTCCCAATAAAATCATTAGTGTTTGTGAATCTCCAAAAGTTTTTCTGAGCATAATATGGCTCTAGAAAATCATAATAGTTTTAAACAAAATAGTGCAAGTTTGTTTGAGTTACCTTAAAAGACAATGTAATTTTATTGATTTTTAGCTAATCACTGTTTCCCAAAGTCAGCTGTCATGGTGGATGTACTTGTATATATTTCAGTATCAAGAAGTCATGGGCTACTGACCTATATATGTTATGAAAACCCTCTTTTCCATTCTTTTCAACTGTAAAAGCCAATAAAATTCTTTGGATTCATTTAGAGATTGGGACAAAGTGCTTAAAGCTTAGATTAGTGATACTTTGCTAGAAGAAAAGATGTTTCTAAACAAATTCCACTACATTTACAGTCTCCTGATTTCAACATTTTGTGCTGCATTTTAATTATGTTGTTGAAATATGATAAAAAAGTAAATGTTTTATATGGAACAAGCTGAAGTAGGCTTAGTTAAATCATTTTGCACTCAAACATATCAAGTTGTATTTTGCTGACAAGGCCCTGTGTTATGCCTTTTTGTATTAGACCATATTAGCCTAAGTAATTGCTTGAATGGGCAGAGAAAAGAAATTAAAATAAATGAATATGAAATGGATTAAAAATTCATTATGTATATTAAACAAAACCTTCTGATTAATAATTAAAAAAGCTGATTTGCTTTTTAACTTGGATATGGTAAAAAAGTTATTGTAAGCCAGTACTCATAAACACATTGAAACTGCATGAGTTAATTTTCAAATCAAAACAAAGATAAAATTTTCATTTTATGAAATAAAAATTTATAGGAAAGTTTTAAAACAATGTTTCCTAAAAAACATATTGCAATGAAATCATTTCAAAACTTTAAAGTTGCGAATGAATAAAAATATATATAAAAATACGATATTTCATTTGCAGAAAGTACATAATTTTCAGGAATTAATTCTGAAGTGTTGAAATATTTCATCTAATAATTTTTTTTTCACATTGCAGAAAAACAAACCATACAACAGGTGTGTCAAAGCATCACATTTGGATCTCATATAATTATATTCCCTTAGGTTTCCTTCATCCACCGTATCTAAATGCAACCCATTCCAAAAACCAACCACCCTGTTAGAAAAGGAAAACTTTCTAAACTGAAGATGACTTTTACTCTGCAAAAACTTACAATTGTGTCCCCCCTTTCTACCATTCTCACAATTAAATGCAAAAAAAAGATGATGAATTGGTACTTTCAGTACTTTCATAATCTTGAACACCTCAGTCAGATCTCCTTTAACTCTTCTTTTTGCAAAGAATATTTCGGAAATTCTAATCTTTCCTCATATGGCAACCTTTCCATATTCATTATTTCTGTAAATACAACCTAAAATACTATTTGTTCTTCTACTACTACATAACAGCACTTGGCTTGGGTGGCTTAAGAAACTAATCAACCAAAACACCAGAATCATTTTCATCCATAAAACTGTTAAAGTTATTCCCACCTTGCATTTATTATAATTAAAAGCCATCTGCTACTTATTCATCCAACTTGCCAAATGATCTAAATCCTTTTGTAAAGCAGCATATTCCTCACAACTAGCAACATTGAAGACCTTAATATCATTCAATTCATTAAAAAGTATGCATGTGAAGCTGTATGAATAAACTTATATTTTCATATTATTTTGTTTAGTCTTTTCAAACAGTTTTTCTCCATTGCAATTTTGTAAAGTCTGTCCACAAAAATTATTATTAGCTTTTATACATTCTTCTGCACTACAAAATACAACCAGGAAAAATGTTCATTGTTCATATAAATATGTGTGTACTTAACTGATCTAGATGTGAACTGCAGTAGAAAAATAAAACTTCTAATAAATAAAATCCCTATACTTAGACTTTGAAACCATAGTCCTTTAGAAAATTTATTCTGCTTTTATTAGCCCAAAAATTAAACAGGTTTCTCATTGGAATTTTTGTAGTCTCTAGATGACTTTAAAGCTTTTTTTTTTCAGAGAGGGCTAGGCAAGTTTTCTTTTATAGCTCAAACTATTCAAAATAAAAAATGCTGATAGTGAATTCTTACTGCAATGTAAAATCCAGGTTGTTTTATAAAAATTGGGCTTGTAAAATAAAGTGACAAGTTTGTAACTACAGTAAAGGTGATGCCCTACATATGATTTATGTGACTGCTAAGTTATTACTTGCATTACTCGCCTTTTATTAAAGATGTTTACATAATGGTTTATTGTGTTCAGCTTTTAACTTATTCCATTTATTTTTCTAAATTGAAAAGTTTACTAAATATATACAAAATAAAAATGGAAATTTTTGATTATAGTAAATGCTAAAAATTCTTTTAAATTTTATTTTAATCAGATAAGTTTATGTTGCAGAAAAAAAGGCACGAGAAAATATGTTTACGTGATATTTACATGATTTGCATGAGTTGAGAATTTGTTTAGAAGTTAACCTTTTTAAAGTAATTTGGCCAAGTTGACTTTACATAATCACATTTGAAAAAGGTTATTCAGGGATAAAAATGATATAAAAAAATGGTATTTTTCATTTTTAAGTGATAACAAGGGGTATTTCGCTTATCTACTGCCACCCTAATGTAAACCACATACAGAAAATACTGGTCTATAAAGTATTTATCCATTTTTCTCTTAAAATCCTTTAATGTTGCTGTTTCTAACACAACTGAAGACAAACCTTCCTATTAGAAAAGTAACACCATCTTAATTATAATTATGTCCAAGTTTTCCATATCTTAAATTTGTGTCCTGTAATCTTACACCATCTTGATTTATGTATCCCAAACTCTCAATCATGTTCCCCCCAAGTCATTTTCCTCTTTAGCAAAAATATTTCTTAGAAGTTTTAACCTATCCCCATTCAGAATGAGAACCCTCTCCAAACCTGGAATCATTCTGGTAGCTCTTCTCTAATCATTCTCCAAAAATTCAGTGTCCTTCCTTAAATAAGGTGACCAAGATATCAAAATTGAAGTTACTGAATGTAATATTTCAAATAAGATCTATAAATTATACTGAAAAGATTACATCTTTCAACTCGTACTCAGTATTTTTATGTATACAACCTAAAATTTTGTTTGCTTTATTACTAGCTAATGTACATTGTTTAGATGGTTTAGAGAGTTTGTAGTAGCTAAGTGTAGACCTCTTTCCTCATCAGCTTCACCTGGAGTTTTCCCTTCAAGATTAAAAGCCCAGTTTGTTGTACATGGAATTTTTTGGGGGGAATTTTCACCTATTTGCTGAAATATTGGTGCACACTCTTTATGCAGACTTGGTTTGCTTGAGTTTTCCCCTTCAAGACTATAAGCCCAGTTTATTATACATAGATTTTTTTTTGCAAAAAAAAACTAGTTTTTTTTTAGAATTGACACATATGTAGTGAAATTTAGTACACATTGTTTATGCAGACCTGGTTTGTTATGGGCTCATATTTCTAAATTTATCAAATGTTGTATCCATCTTGAATGTTTAAGCTTGAAGTTGCAAGTTAAAATTGATTGTCTCTGGCAGACTGAGGCAACTACAAATACCAGTGAGAAAGTAAAACATAAAAATGAAAAGTGTGATGGGCAACCTACTTTCTGTAGCAAAGACTAATATTTATTTTCAGTTTTAATAATTAAGAGAATAGTTGTTATGAAAACATAAGTGCCATTAGGGTATTAACTTTATCTTTTGCTAATTATATCTTTTTTTCACTCTGTAAGAAATGTTATCTATTTCTTAGTGACAAATTTTGTTAACTTAATATGAAAAAGCAGAACTGTAGATAAAAGTAAACGTTGATGTAGTAAATGTGTTAGTCCAAACTTAGCAGTTATTTTTATGGTGTGTGATTGAACCAAGAGTGAAACAGTGTGTTGTTATACCACAAATAATGTAATTTATGGGTATTCTGCAAAACTGTCCTGACTTCAGATTTCATGGTATTTAAAATAACTTAATCTAAGCAGTTTTTTGTATATCATAAAATCCAGTTTAAGTTTTTTCTCAAATGATAATAATGGTACATCTGATGGTGGTTAAATTTTCTCTCTAGACATCAATACAGAAAGCTGTATAGCTCTTAAGTACTTACAGTAAGGTTATGGTGATTGAATATTAATCATTGTTCTGGTTAGTATACAATCACTTAAGTCTCAGTATTATTAACTAATTAATAATTAATCTTAGTTGATTATATAGATTACTAACCATGACAACAAACAATAAAGCCCCTTTTTTCTTTAATTATAGCAAATGATACTGTCATATGCAGCCATTTGGAAAGTTTTTATTTTTATGTTTTACATATAATCGTAGTTTAGTCTACAAATTACCAGAAATCCATGAAAGACTGTCATAGACTTTGTAATCTTAGTTACACAAGCACTAGCCAAACAACTTGGGCAATTTCTTATTTCTTATCAAGATGACTCATTTCTGAATGGGTGAGGCCCAGTGGATAATCATATTCCAAAACATTTTCCTACCTAATAATTTGAGTATATACTTTAAAATGAATCTGTTAAATAACTTCTGAAAAATGAAGAAGACTGGGTATTATAATCTAAGACATCTAAAGAGTTTTGGACATGGGTTATTATTATGTTTTTATCATTTAAAAAAAGCATTGTTGGGAAAAGTAGTATTTGTGATCACTTCCAAAGTGTGATAGAAAGTGAAGGTGAAAAAACATATTAGAATTTCACTACACTAGGAAAAGCATGACTTAGCATATATACAGAGAAGGAATAAAGCTTTAAGAATATAAGCTATTGCTGTAAAAAGGAGAGTTGATTGGTAGAAATGTGATATCATTGAAGATAGCTGGAGCATAAAGTAAATATAAGATATAAAGTTTGGAGTTGGGTATTTGTTTATTCGTACATTAGAATAATAATATAATTTTGTTAATCTTTATAGGACTGAGGACATCATATGACTCAAACTGGTTAGATGTCTGTAAGATAAATGGAATGGTTTGCCTGAAGATGTGGTATGTGCTGTTAGTTTGAATTCTTTTAAAATTTGTTGGTTAATAGGATTACATATAAGTTGGGTTAAAAAAAAGTTTTACTGTGTAGCTTAGAGCTGACTTTGATGGGTTAATAAATGACATTCTATCACCTTGAATTTTCTTGTTTAATACCTTATGAAATCTCCAAAACATAAAGAAATAGCTAAGGATGTAACAAACTAAATTACATACATTATGAAGTTTAAGTTTGCTTAATGCTCCCTTTCCTTTAATGATAATTATAGCAGTGTCATATATTTCGTTAATTGCTATTCTCTGATTTCATGAGGCTGAAATTGTGTTTTTTGTTACACTTTTAACAGTATTTTATAAGTAATTTGTTGTACTGACAAAATGTTTTTTCTAATTAATGTTTTGAAATAACAGAAAATGAAGACACTTGTTAGGAAAGCTAAACAGTTTATTCTATAAAAGTGAAGGTCTGGAACACTACAGTTAGGTGACAAGTGTTTAGAAAGATGTGATTAGTTTTTGTATCAAATGTAGTAGGTTATAGGCTTATGTTTACCATCTTCTGAGTTTCCTTTGAGGTACAGTATGATGTTTTTGTTCAAATATTATTTAATCAATATACAGTCAAAATTTTTTTAAATCTAAAATTTCTAAATGTTTATAGAGAAGTATACTGTTTGCTAAAAGTAATATTGATGAAAGCCAATTTTGAGACATTGTACTATTGTGTTAGTAGTAATTGAAAACAAAGAACTTTATAAGGAAGTATATTTCTTCCTTTTGTTGGTATAAGGAATATAAAAAGTTGTTTTTTGAGAGATATTTGTGCTTCTACAATAGTTATAAACTTTTTATTGGACAAAATTTGTAGTATATATATAGTTTATGACCTCTCAGTCATTTACAAAAGTGTGAACAGTTGTTCTTCTTAAACTTATAATTATAGTCTTGAAATTTTTATCCATTGTACAAGTTTTTTTGTTTCAATAATTTTTAATATATTAAACTTACAAAAGTTTAAAGTAATTTTTACTACAAGTAAGTTTGGATGTCTACATGAATAATATATGGTAACATGATTTTACAAGGAGTGCAATACTTTCTTTGTAAGTTCTACCTCTATGGTTAAGTAATAGTAATGACTTTATTAAATAAAAAAGTATATTTCAGAAGCACTACTATCTCTCCATGGAACATACAGCTATTACCTTGCATCACTGCCAAAATAAGGTTTTTGCATATAAGGCAATTCTTCAACAATCTTCTCACCCTTACATATATTAAAGTGAACTGCTCCAGTTTATGATGTGATCATCATTAAACTATACTCCTCCACTAATAGGAGGGTGACAATTTCTCCATGCTCAATAAACCTTGTGAGCATTAGCATGTTTCCTCAGCACTTCTTTATTCAGACATCTTTTGTTTCTCGGAATTATGGGATTTTTGTATAGTACTTTTTTACTTTAACTTTCAGTTAAAACTGTTGGACTTATTGTCTCTTGCTTATACTAAAGTTAAATACATATTCTTTCCTATTGTCAGGTTTTTATTTGGTAGGATTCTTTTACAGTAGGTGTCTGTGGCTTGTTGGTGATAAATTCTGAAAATAAATGGACAATACACAATCCACTTCTTTTAGAATAATGTCTATTCAAAACAAGTCAAACATATGTACAAAAATTCTTTACACTACAGGATATCACAGTTGTATCTAAAACTCTAAATAATTTTCTTTTCTTGTCAAAAGTCCACAGTGACCAATTCAATTACCTTAGAATCTAATTGACAAGATAAGTTAATTTTCTCTGTTTCTTACTATACAATCTATGATAAATTCACTTACGTTACCATGTGGGTTATCACAGTTGTATCCATAACTTTAAATAATTGTCTCCTTTTCATCAAAGCCCACACAGGCAGTTTAATTACATTAGAACACCCTATGACAAGACAAATTATTTCTCCTTATCTCTGCTAAACTGTGAAACTCACTTTAAGTATTGCCTGTTACGGCTAAACTAACAATCACTTCACTTTCTTAAATTTTTCTGACTTCACTTAACTTGTTGGTTACCACAGTTCAGAGCTTTAACTCTTTCAACATGACCTCTTTGTACTCATTCAAAGTCTTTATAGATTTGATATTACTAACTTTTAACATAGTGTGTATATCTTCAGGAAATTTAGCAGTCTTTCAATAAACATTATAAATCTTTCACATATAAACAATCATATTTTTTATTGAAGTATTTTTAATAAACTAAAAAAAGATTTGTCCTTGAGTATATCAAGTATTTGTTTTGTATAGTCTGTATAAGATTAAATACACTTTTCTTCATCACAAAAATCTTAAATTTCATTTGTGAAATCTCTAAAACCTCCTGAATACATTTAAAATGTTTGTTTTCAGTAAAATGTTATATTTTATCTGTTATTTTCACTTCCCTAACTCTATACTGACCTTGTAACCTTTTTCATCTTTATAGAATGACTTCAAAGGTAACATGAAGCTAAATTCATTTATTCTAAGTAGCTTTAAACTCATAAAAGTATACATCTATTTATAATTAAATTTTATTGTTTTATTGTCCTTTTGATTACTCTTTAAACCATGTCTAACTACTATTCACGCCATTATAAGTTGTAAGTCACTTGGGGAATGTGCAGCTCACGTTACACTATCGAATTACCATACCCATGAGCTACTCTGAGATACTCGTGTGCATGCCTCGTGAAATATTTTTATTATATTATTGTTTATCTAACCTTAACTAATCTAAAGAGATCCCTATTTTGACATTTTAGTTACTTTTATAATAATAAATAAAGAATAAACATGAAAAACAAGAAATAAAGTACTTACCCGAGTATTCTTGTTTTTTGCTGTTGACTATCAATTACACTTAACCCTACTATTTTATACTAATGATAGAAATGCATTAAATAATTTCTATTTAATTAAATATTGCACCAAAGAACATAGAATAATAACTTGCAAAAAGCAAACAATTTCCTCTAACAATCACAATTTTTCTGGTTTTCTAACTATGTGACAAGAGCCATTACAAATTCATCCAAGCTAAGCATTGTGATTCCTTTGGGAACCAAAGTTGTATTACAAGTGAAATTGATGATTATCTGTTCAGAACACAATGTAATATAATATATTTGATAGATGGAAGCCTTGTCTTTCTATTGGTTATAGGTAATATATGATTAAATGTAATAGAGAACTATTAACAAATCCTGAAAGAGGGGATGTGACAGGAGGGGGTCTGATTGAAGACTATAAAAATTCTGGTTTGTCTGAGCAATGATGATTTTATAGTGAGTAATTTACATTTAATTTTATACTTACTGGAGGGGTGGTGGATAAAATAGAGAAGAGAAGATACCTAGAGGAAGTGTCACACTAGGGGAAATGTAGGATTTTTAAAAATATTGCCTTATAGAAGTAAGAACTTAAAACTTATATCCTATTAAAATATGGATTATAAGCAAAGATTTTATGCTATACTAATTGGTATAACATAAACAAAAAGTTGTTTAATGAAATTTTGAATGTAAGACACAAAAACCTTGTGTCATACACAGTAAAGATTACCTGTGCTGGGTTAAACAATTATCTCTTTTTTTTTTTTAGTCAAAAGTCCACATAGGCTGTTTCAGTTACTTTAGAACCCAATTGACAAGACAAATTATTTTTCCTGTCTCTGTTGTTATGATACAGCTGTGAAACACCACTGTAGAAATCACCCATTAAGGCTAATCACTCACATGCCAGCTAATTTCACATTTTTTTTCACTAACTAACTTTTTTCTACCTGAACTTCACTTTTTCTAACTTAACTTCTTGGCTAAACTGTCAGTCACTCAGTCTAGATCTTCTAATTATCTCTCAATTAACTTGCTTTCTTATCTAGAAATGGTTTCATGATTTTCCCTAGACTTGTGTTTATTATTAACTGTGTAATAGGTGCATTTTTTGAAATAAAATAATTTTTAGTCAGAAAACTCATTTTTTTTTCTCCATGAATTATTTAAAGATACATTATAGTTTATTTTCCAAATTGTTTAACATGGTAAATATTATATATTTAAGTTGATTTTGAACAGCTGTTGTGATGCACTAGTAGTAACTGAATGTAAAAGAGTGTACAAGAAATACATTATACTTCTGCATCTCATTATTTTTCATTAGAGTAAATAACTTAAATGTTTTATTATTTCTTGCTGTCTGTGATGCAAGGTAAATATATATGTAAATCTGTTTCATTCATTAGAGTAAATAACTTAAATGTTTTATTATTTCTTGCTGTCTGTGACGCAAGGTAAATATATATGTAAATCTGTTTCATTCAATTCTTTTTGCACGTTTGTGAATGTAGAAATGATTGTAACTACATTAAATGATACATTTAAGTGGAAAATGTATCAGCACTAGAACAGGGTGACTATTAGAGTTTGTTAATCAATTAATGGGCAAGCTTATTAATCAGTTCCATTCAACTAATTGATTATTTTCACAAGTTTTGGATTGTTGGAGGATTTCAAAATAGTATAGTCAGAAACATTGACTTTGAGTAGTTGATTATTTTTGTTAGTTGTGACACTAAATGATTAAGCTTAACTACCTTAAACTAATCAAAAAGAATAATGAGAAATGAAAATGGCGATGTTTCATTCACCTGGATAGTTGGAACAATTGAAAACAGTAATAATCTGATACACATTTTGATTAGATTATTTTCATGATATTAATTGAAGTAATCATAATTTAGATTAATCAATTATTTCATATCACACTAATTCATATAGTTGATCATCATAGGTAATCAGGTTAATTGGTCTGCTCTAATCAGTACAGTCACAAGTTTTTTGTGTTAAAATTACTTGAAACACCTTTTGTCTGGCACATAATGTTTTCTGTTTAGTGTAGATGCCTTTTTTTATTCTTATTCTTACATATAATAATTGTTTTAATTGACAGAAATTTTTGGATAAATACAAGTCATAGTTTGATTGTTTTTATGTTGTTATAATGTCAATACTTATTTTTCTCTTTTGCAGAACGATTAATTTCTATTGTATAAGTATATCCACATTAAATATGCACTACCGGCACTTGTGTTTAAAATTTTTTAGATTATAATAAATTTTTTCTGGTAATGTTCTTAACTTACTTTGATTTCCTTTTTCTTTTTCTATTAACTTATTAAATTTATGATCTAATTTTATCTTATATTTATCAATGTTTTTCGTCGTATGAAACCAATAGAAATTTTCACAATCTAAACAGTTTTGTCTATTTTCTTTTGCTGCCGCCAAATGTAATTGATACACTTTGTGCTCTAGTTCTGCTATGAAACTTCTTTTTTGTTGTATCGTAATCCTCAATATGTGTTGCTTAATCTTGTGTAAAGTTTATCCAAAGTTTATACAAGTAAAAAGTAACATGAAAGGAAAGAAAATCGACCACTGTTTACACAATGAAATAATGAAAAATATAAAAAACAGAAACAAGTTTTAAATAGAGATGAAGGACCAGCAATTCAATACATTGATATATGGTGAGATACATTATATTTTTTTTTCCAATTACACTAAGGAAATATGTAAATAACAATGAAGTAATGCGACAAGGGGGAAAGTATAAAATAGTCTTGTAAGTTACTCCTGAGGATGATGTAGATCACGTCAAAACATGTACTTGTAGAGCAATATTTTAAAGTGGAAGCCGTACGGTTTCAATAAAGTTTTTATTGTGTAAATATAAAACGTTGTTGTTAATTATTTATTATAATTTAAAAAATATATCCACATTATTAAAAATGTGTGTACATTGGTGCATGTATCTGAAATTACTCGTTTACTGACATATATCCACAAATATATTTTATGACATTCACAATATTGGGAAAAGTTTCAATGGTATATGAACTTGAGTAGGTAGATGACTTTGTTTAAAAAAAAAATGCATAAATTCCAAATACATTTTGGCTTTAACTTTGATTGAATTGGTGGCTCATATTTTATATTACCATAAAGATGTACTCTGCTAGATATGATGACTTTTTTTCATTTATTATGTTCTCTGTATTATTTATTATGTTTGTGACTTCAAAAACTTGTCCCATTTATAGAAGTAAATATTTATTTTTCTTGAGGTGATTTGATAATATTTTGAGCTTTCAGAAGATGTCTTTTCTTTTTTCATACATTAAACTGGGATTCACAGATATTCTTAAAAAAAAAGAAAGCCTACATACCAAACTTGCTTGAATTATTGGGTTTTCTCAGCTAAGTTTCGTTAAAAGATATATTGCTCTTTCATACTTCTTGTATCAATAATTTGTGTTATTTTTCCTTAAGTGTTTGTAAGTATTTAATTAGAATATAAACTAGTAATATAAACTTGTATATTGTGCTATAAACTGACCAGTTAGTTCTCTAAGCTATATGACATTACTAATTTAATTAGAAAATAAAAGGACAACATGTAAAACGTATGTTCTTTATTATGCTCCTTTTACTCATCATAGTTTATTAGTTACAGTAGTACAGATACTAAAAATGAATATGAAGCATAAACTACCATAAAATACAACTAAAACCTCATACATAGTATTTGTTTGTAATTCAAAACCTGACTTTTATTTTTGTCTGTTGAAACTTGCATCATTATTTATTTACAACTAAAAATCTCATAAATAGTTTTTATTTGTAATTCAAAACCTGATTTTCATTTTTGTCTGTTGAAACTTGCATCATTATTTATTTACAACTAAAAACCTCATAAATAGTATTTATTTGTAATTCAAAACCTGACTTTCATTTTTGTCCGTTGAAACTTGCATCATTATTTATTTTGGTGATCTTCATATACCCATCATACTGTTAAATTATCAAAATCAACCATTACTCACCACCCTGTATTAATTAAGAGGTGATTTGTTTTTAGAAAATGATTAAAGAGATGAAAATAGTATATACATTCTATTTTTTGTCCCATTATAACATCAGACAAATATTTAACTAAAATAATTACTGGTTAGGTCTTCCTACCAGATAAGTGCGAGAAAGCTGTATCCTGCTGACATATTGAGCAAACATTGCCATCTGTGTTTCAGAAGGGTTAAATAGTTAATGCTATATGACATAGTGCTTATGATTTAGAGAGACTATTACTGTCAAGAAGTAAATGTTATCGGAGTAGTAGGCCAGTTTTAGCATCTATATAAATAATACTCTAGCATTTGTCCAGAACTTTTCTCACAAATTTCTCGATCAAAATGTCATATCGTTAGAAAGGCTTTTGTCTGAAGAGTCCAAACTGTGTATAGGCTTTTCAATTCAGAATCACTTTACCTATTTTTTGCTTTGTCCAACATTTCAATGTAATGAGTGTGGTACACAATGGCACAATGTCATCACGTGATGAGCAGCTTTGACTTCAATTTTAGTATTTTATTTGCAAATTATTTCACACAAACAACACTTAACCCACGTGTAATTTCCTAAAAAATTAACATTACACTAAATACAGTTGCTATGGGCTTTCTCGACTTATTTAAGTTTAAAATATGCATGTGTAGTTTGTTTAAAACCATATGCTTATCACTTTGTGAACATGCATTCAGATGTTTCTGCATATTCAGCTAAGTTTGTCTTCATTACAAATGTAAGAATTTAACTTAGATTCATTTAATAGACTGCTGTAAATACCTTCTATCTACTTTTTTCTTTACTAAGGATTTTATTTTTTGTTTTTGTGAATTTCTGTGTTTCAACTTGAAAAACCATCTCATACATTGAATATGCATAACTGTTTCAAAGTTTGTACACTATTAGAAATATCATTACTTTACTTTATTGTTTATTTTATGTGTAGTTTTATTAAATAAAGTTATGTACATGTAGTTTTATTAGATAAAGTTAAGCTTACATGAGTTTGTTTGTCTGACCTCGTAATATGTTTTTCAAATAGACCAGGATTTATCGATTTAATACGTAATGCCTGCAAGAAAGCATAGCCTTAATGGCATGTGTGAAAATGGTAGAATAAAGAAAGTTCAAGAGAAGGGCAGGTCATGGCTAGTTCAGTAAGACACATTTTCAAGGGTAGAATAAGGAAAATTCAAGCAAAAGGCACAAAGACTACTGCAAATATCTTGTGGGTCGTGGCTATTTTATTAAGACACATTTTCAAGTTAAATGGTTATATGTAGATCATTATGAGTGGACAACAGATTGAAATAGCAAGTTACCATCCTCAACAGGTCTGAGACAAGTCCAAGCCAATCCAAGCCTCATATTGGGTCTTCTTCTGTGGATAAATCTAGTGGAAGCTCTGGTCCTTCTACTCCACATCACAGTCACAGTGAGATTGATACTTCAACTAATGGTCAGGCCTGTAAATATGGAGAACTGGTTATTCTTGGGTAAGTTACATTATCAAAAAAAAGTTCATTGTTTTTCTATAAATATTAATATTTTGTATTAGTAACGTCAGATTTGTTGTAGATACTTCAATGATGTGCACAAATAATCATGAAGCTACTTTAATTTTGTGTTTATTGATGCAACAAACTTTTCTGATATCCATTTAATAATCATTTTTAATATAGCTTACTTTGATTTTAAAATAAATTTGCTAGCATTTAATTGTTTTTTGTCTAACTAATAATTTCAATAACTTAAATGTAGTTAAGTTTTTATAATATTGGTATATACTGAGTCCTCAGTCTGATGAAATATTGTATCCTTATAATGCATGTCTTATATAAATAGATTATGCATCTCAGGCACATGTTAAAGGTTATTGATATGTGTATGAGAGAGTAATATGTGACACGTGTATTGATTAAAGTTGTGTAATTGCTTTTGTCTTTCCATTTGTAATGAAAATAACTAAGTGAGCCATGTGTATTAATAGTCTGATTTTTAAATGTGTACGTTTATGTACATTTGTTTAAGACATTTTGAATTTAACAAGTGCTTATGAGCAAAAGATAAATTGTTTAATTGTCTTTCCTTTAGATATAATAAACAACAAAAATAAACTTAAATCTATGTTATATGAGAGATATCTGTGTATTTTCTTAAAAATTCCATATTTTAGTACCATAAAAATTCAGTGTAAACCATGTAATGAATGTACCTCTGAATGTTTATGAGTCATGTTTTAATGAAGCAATTATATAGCAAAGTAAAATGTTATATACTGTTTTAATTACTTCATGTAATAGTATGTGTGTATATATATATATATATACCAGTGTTAGTTCTTTCACATTAATCAAGTTAAAAAAAGGTATGGATCATTGTATAGTATTAAACAAAGCTATTTACTGTATGGTGTGTTTTAGTATTTACTCTCACTTTGTCATGGGTCATTAGAAGAAGGAACCAGGTTGGAGAATATTTTTACATCTATTAGTTACAGTTACAATGTACATATATACGAATAGTACACTTGTATTATTGTGTGATGTAGTTTGAAAGCCTCAGTTGTGTGCTGTGTTATTGCATGTAAGATGAGACTTAACATATTTTAAGAATCAGGTTAAATCTTATATAAATTTATATGAGTGTTAAAAATATGTCATTATACAAATCAATTTTAATCAAAGTGTAGATTTGGAGCCATAATAAAAAAGTAAATAACTATTATATTCGCTATACCATTATTCTTTATTTCTTTCATTACTCGCAGAAATGGGCTGGACATGGCCTAGTGGTTAGAGAACATGACTGTAGATTTAAAGGCCCATGATTTGCCTTCTGTTGCCACATAATTGCACATTGTAGATGATTATACAAGTGGTTAAATCTCACTTTTTGATTAGAGTAGCAAAAGAGTTGGTGGTGAGTGCTTTTTGACTCACTGCATTCCCTGTAGTCTGCAAGTTCAAAATTAGGGGTGACTATCACAGATAGTCCTTGTTTAACTTTGTACAAATATCCAAAACAACAACAGAAAAAGATATTAACAGAGATTATAGTTGTACTCTAAATGTGTGTGTTTCAATAGCAATTTTACATGAATTATGTATTATGATCATTTAAAGTCATTTAACAAATGATATATAGGTGAAGATGGCATGGTTTATACATTTTCTTTAACTGCAATGCAGAACATACAGAATAACATTAACATAGTATTTGATTCTAAATAATCGTTTACACTATTATGAGCACATAATGACTTCCAAAACTGATCTCAGACAGGAATTAAACCTGTATAATCACTGGTCTAAGCTCTACTCAGTTTTGGTTTTCATTTCTTTAGCAGAACTTACAAGCATCCTGTATGCAGCATAAAACATTCATATACTCAGTGAGATAAATGCTGTGTTTTCTTTATGAACTGTTTGAAACTTTTCTTATTTATCTCTATTTCAATATTCATCTACAGTATAGAAATGGTAAACTTTTTGAAAGTAAAGGTACATAAAATAAAGAATATATTAAAAATTATTTTCTCTGTTTAAGTCACACTATTACACTATTTTTCTACAAAAACAAGGAATTTAGTAAAATGCACAATGAATAAGATCTTCATGTATCTAAAATAAAAGTTTTGTATTTTTGTTTAAAATTATCGAAAGTCCTCATTATAGTTTTTTTTCTTTTAAATACAAATGTAGGTAACATTTAGTTTACACATATATATATATATATATATATATGCACACACAATTTCATAAAAGAATTTTCAACGTTAATTTTTTTTATTAGGTACAACGGTTCTTTACCACAGGGTGAGAAAGGCAGACGGAGAAGTAAATTTGTCTTGGGTAAACGGCCAGTACCTAATGGAGTTAAAAAATCTAAACATTATGTGGTTAAACAACCTCAGTCTTCAAAGGTAAATACAGACTTGATATTTTATAACTATAACTTAGTAGAGTTATGGCATCATAATTTGTTTAAGAATAATGAAATAAGTGAGCAATGTGATGTTGGCACAGAGACTCAAACCTCTAACACCACTGTATGATTGGTTTTAGAGCTAACATTTGTCAACAGTAGTTTTTCTTTAACTCTTGTCAGACAACAGTATCAGTGAGATTGTGTAGAAATCAATAGTACAAACAGTCTAGTTTTGTATACTCTAATAAAATGATATAGAGGACAATTACCATGGATGAGAAAGAAAATGATATTGTGTTTTCTATATATTTTAGTAAATGGCATTGCAGTCTTGTTCAAAACTGGTTTTACAACTTTTAGTATAAGTTAATATGAAATTAGCTGGATTTTTGTTTTTATGAACTACTGTACTATTGTGATTTGGACTATCCATTGGCAGTGTGTAACCTGCAGAGTTGGATGTCAGGCTAATGTTATGCATCATTAGGTCTACATGCATGCATGATAGAATAGATTTATAACTTACTTTCTGTCTTTCATGTAAACCTAGTGACATAATATTCATTCGTGGTTGTGCAAGTGTTTTTATTAATAGGAATTTGTTTTTAGTTCATAATTAAAATGTGAAAGAATTGTCTTATTTTGAATAACCAAGCATGTGTTATCAAGTCCAATAATATTATAATACATTACCAATAAAAGGAGAATGATTGTTTTATTCTCACCAAGCTGTGTAGCATCTGCCTCTTCTCAAAAGCATCTAAAGGTTGAACTCAGTAGAATATATTATACTTTCTGAAATAATATGCACAAGTTGAATACTTCTTTAAATGCACTGTTAAATGTAAGTCTTAAAATTGTTCATCAGCTTGTTATTATATCTTCATTAAGTACGTGGGCTCTCTACTAAGACAGTTTACTTTATATAAATGTGTAAAAATGTTAAATAGCATTATATTGATTTTCATTGATTTGTGTAAATGTCAGAGACCCGCAGTCATGAGAAAAACATGTTGGATACAGTATTTAATTTTTCATCATGAATATTATAACATCTCTTCTGATGCCATTTTGTTGTTTTGAAATACCAGTTATTAGTAGTAAAAGTATTTTGTTTTCTGAGAATATGCAGTTAATGAAATTGTCTCATTTTTATGTATTGTGTTTCCAATATTTCATAAAGAGACAACTTTATTCTGAAAAAGGGATCTAAGACATTTTTCTAATGAAAAACTCGAGACAGTGCTAATGTATTGAAAAATTAGTTATGTATTGTCAGTAACTTCTGATCAAAGCAATTTACATTCATAGGTCAAAACTAAAGATCAACTAAATAACTGATATAGCTGATTTAATATATGAGTAAAAAAAACAAACCCTATAGTGATCAAAATGCATTGATTCATCAGTTGGGTACCCTTTCTGTTGCTGATATGTTTTTCTGCAGTCCCAGTTATATCTCGTGAAGTTTGGCTATATTATATCAATAAACCTTTTCCTTAAAAAAAGAATCACTAGATGTGAGATTTCTCTTCACTGTTTAGTTTATTGGATAAAAAGACAGTTGTTTGTAGATGCTTGTGTGTTGAAATTAAAACGTTTTAACACAGATGGCTTCTAAAGCCCAGTTTTCATTCTAGATTCAAATATATATATTGAGTTAACAAAATATTTGCATAGGTGTATTATGAGATGGAAAAGAAGTAGTAGTAAAGATTTCTAAATATATTTTATGTAAATTATGCTGCAGTATGCTAAACTTGTCATGATATATCTTTAAAAATATTTTACTAAGATGTAGCTTTTATAGCTTGATCTCAAATATAAATATTAACCAGGTTTTGTATATTTAAACATTTTCAATGGTTGTCATTTAAGTGCTGATTCTTCAGAATGTTCTTATAGCACCTCCATGTTCTAAGATACAAAGGTATATTTGTTATCTTTTTTTCTTCTACAGGCAATATTAGATAGTATGCAACACTCCATATCATATACGTTATCTCGGAATCAAGCTGTGATTGTGGAGTACATGCTAGATGATGAAACTGATATGTTCCAGGTGAGCAGTCAGATGAAACATTAGAAGTCTAAAATAGGTCAAATAAACCAAAAAAATCAATTTCGTAGGAGACAATCATTTCATTGTAAAAACCTTATTCTGCTATACTTATATAAACTTCATTACGTTTTGAATAATGGCATTTGCCTTTTTCGTACTTGGTCCTATTGTACAGTTATTTATCTTGTTACTAACTAATAAGTATGAAATATTGATGAAGTTTATTATCAGTGGTTTGTTCTAGGTTACTTTAAGGATTTTTAAAAGTATAAAACACATTCCATTCAGGTTTTTTAATGTTGAAGTTGACAAATAATTATGTTTTTTGATCTTACAGATTGGAAGGTCATCAGAAATTCCGATTGACTTTGTGGTGATGGATACAATTCCAGGTGATAAAGCTGGAGATTGTAAAGTAACACAGAGCACAATCTCAAGGTTTGCATGTCGGTTTCTTGTAGAAAGAAATGAAACTCACACTGCAAGGGTTTATGCTGCTGGCTTTGATTCTTCCAGAAATATTTTTTGCGTGTGTGTGTGTGTGTGTGTGTAAAATATAAAATTTGCATTTACCCCCACAGAAACACAGCTATAACTGTTAATAATTGATATGTTTGAAACTTAAATAGTATTATTTTTGGTTGAAGAGGATCCAAAATGTTTAAAATTTAAATATTATTTTTAGTTGAAAGTGTAGCTACATTTTTGAAACTTAAAGAGTTTTAGTTGAAATGGTACCTACATATTTAAATCGTAGAGGTTGTTTTGCTTGAAATGGTGCTTACATGTCTAAAACTTAAAGGTTATTAGTGCTATCTACATCTGTGAAGCGTAAAGGGTATTATTTTTGGTTAATACAGTATATGTTTAAAACTTAAAGGACATATTTGGTCAAAACAGTCAATTCATCTTTAGTACTTAAGAGGCATTTTTTCTTGCATTTGAATCTAAAGTTTGTGCTTGTAGTAAAATATCATTCCATGGTGTGTAATTTAATCTTTTTTCCACCAGGAAAAGGCCACAAAATGGCAGCAAAATGGAGAGATTGATGGGCTCACAACAAATGGAATTCTAATCCTGCACCCACGTGGATCTTTCTGTGGTGGATCCTTGCCTGGAATATGGAGAGAAATCTCAGTTGGAGGAGGAGTGTATGCTCTTCGAGAATCCCGCTCAACACCACAGAAAGGAACCAAAGTAAAGTTGCTGTCTTATAGTTCTAGTTAAAACTAGTTAAGCTCTCATCTTAACCCTGTGACTTTAATGGCAGATTGTAGACAATATCTGTGCTACTACATTCAGAATTCAGTAAAATCTGTAGATAAATGTATTTCAGTTTTGTTTGAAAAATATATTTAAGAAAATATTGAATATATTTTAGCATTTTTTTTAGATAAATATGCTAGCATTGTTTTTTTATTGTTTCTTTAAAATCTGGAAATATTTATTTGTCCCTCTTTGTAACTTTTTTACATTCTAGTGTTTAACCTTTTCTCCATCTGTGAAATAATGAAATACTCTAAAGCAAAAGAAACTCAGTTGATGTTTGCTTATTTTGAACAAATTGATATTTGATTTTCATTGCAGTTTCTAGAACTTACTCTACTCCAGCTTTAGGAAATGATTTGTAATTGGTTTTCATCATCATATAGCAAAACGTGAAACATTATTCTAAATGCTACAGATCATGAGTTATAAATTATTTGCTTGTTATCTGTCATTTAACATCTCAAGTTACATTGAATTAGAGAAAAGCATCATATCCTATTCTTTGTAATCTCAGTCTAGCATTTGAAATTCCTTTTCATCTATCTGGTAAGTTTTTATAACATTAAAGATTCTGCTGTATGTGTATTTGAACTGTTTATGTAGATTTGTAAACGAAAATATGGTTGTAAAAATATGAATAAAAAAGCATGAAGACTTTTAAGAGATTGTTTTTAACTTGAAATAAGTATGGATGAACAGACCCCAGACAATTTTTCTCTCTTTATATCAGATGTTATAAATTTGCATTTCATTTTTTTATTTGGTAAGCACAAAACAAACTTGATAATTATTAATTTAAAACTACACTGTTAGTTCCATATTTCTACACATACCTTTAACTATGCTGATTAATTGAATGTGGTCAGTATCAAGAGATGTCATATAGTAATCATGTAGTTATTTTGCAGATGCATGACAGTTGTAGTGGCAAGAAAAAAATTAAATATAAAGGATGAGTTAAAAAGTCTAAGTAAATAACATTAACAACCTTTTTACTGACACATCAGGCAAAAATATGTTTAAAATACAAAAGGTTAAAGAAACTTCATTATAACTAATGGTTAAATACCTGCCATATGCTTTGACACAGTCCAATATCTTCGTCAGTTATTAATTTTTATTGTGCAAAAGAATCTTTGTTTACTAGGTTATGAGCCGTGCTTTTTTCTTTTGTTTTTGAGGGGAGGTGTAGAAATGAATAACATGACTTTTAGTAAACACATTAGAAGAAATATAAAGTGAAGAATATTCCTTTGATTTGTGTGTGTTTAAATTATAAACACCACTGGTTGGATGTTTATTTTTAAACATTCAAATATACACACATTATCAAAGTTATCAATGTATTAATCTGCACAGAACCAGTCAGATTTAAGAAGCTGGCCTCAAGTGTGGGTGGAAGGCTTAAAGAACAAAGCAGAAAATTATTTGTACTAAAAGAAATTTAATTTAAAACATGTTTATAAATCAAAAAGAAATTCAATAACTTTAGTGCTTTTAGAAGGTGAATTATACCCTCTTTAAGGTTGAATATGTATGCTGTTTAAATTTAAAATTTAAGGTTTAGGAAAGTAGCATTAGATTATCTTTTTAAAACTGTGCAGTTATCACATTTTTGAGTTACTTGTGTATTTCAAAGCTCCTTGTAATGCATTATTTTTTAGTATATTTTGTTGTTTTTTTGCATAATTTAAGTTCAAATAATTAAAAACACGTGACATTTCAAACAAGAAAAAGACTGAACTCCAATACTTTAAGGTTATACAAAAGAAAAAATACAATACAGGGAAATAAAATCCATAGTATAATGAATAAGGAATTGCAAAAAAATTTGTTAAAAATCAGTACTTAAGTTTAAAAGAGTCAGAACAAAGAATATCTTTTAAATGTTTAACAACAAAGTTGTTTCAGAAGGATTATCATTATAATTAGGAATGTTTTGACTAAAATGAAAGATTAAGGGAGGTCAGAATATATTTTTTCATGAGTTAAAAGTATTAGAATTTTTTGACATTTTATAAGTAAAAAAAAAAGGAGTCAATATAACTTCAGAATGTTTTGCTTTGTTTGTTTTAAAACATTTTAGTTTTACCACTTTTGCAGATTGAAGACGAAATCAATGACTTACAAGACGGAACATTAATTGATCTTTGTGGAGCTACATTGTTATGGCGATCTGCAGATGGGTTAAATAAATCTCCTGTGAGTGTTGACAGTAACTGGTGTAATAAAGCGAGTATATTTTTTAAGGGAAGATTTTTTATAGGAAAAATATGGAGTTTTTATTTTAAGTTTAAAAGCATTTTATTAAAATGGACTATTGCTGTATAGATTCAAAGATCTTTTAACATAGTTTAACACAAACTTCCGAAACACACCACTTCTCACACTTTAGCTTTATCCATATGAAAGATTCTCTTCTTTGCTCGTCTAAGTAATGGTGTGAATTCTACCTTGTTTGCTCCAGTCTATGTACCCCACTATACTGCCCTTAGTGATTTTAATCTTGTGACTCTCTCGATGTATTTCAATATTACCTCTATACCCAATCCATATATAAGCTCCCTGTTATTCTTTCTTATTCACTTTTCTTTCCTTGATGGCAAAAATTATGAAGATTGTCTTGCGTGTTTACTGCTGGTTTCTATTCAGCACTACATTTGTAACATTTGCTATTGAATTATTTTATATCTTTTCGTGGAGTTTGAGTTTATTGTTTTTTTACTTGATTTTATGGAGAAAAAAGTTTGGAGACGTTTTTCTCTAATATGAATACTCACATTTTTCGTCTTGGACAGAGTCGCCTGATCCTCCTTCTCTACCAGATCACAATTTTAACACTATCCGGGGGTGGGCTGGGGTGGCACCTTCCGTGGAGGACATACAGTTCAGTATACGCAGAAGGGTAGAGTCTTACATGTGATCTGATGTTTTTTCCCCTGTTGGCTCTGAGGCAGAGTTTGTAGGAGATCAAGGGTGGACTAGTGAACATTTAGACTTTATTTTTCCAGCACCTTCCTTTGCTCAAACAGCTAATTGTGTCAGACATCCTGCCTCTTGTACCTTTTTTTTTCAAAAACTAATATGCCATGTTTGTCATGTTTTGAGTATTTATCCTGTGGCTTATGAATTTTCACCTTTTTTATTGGGAGAAACTAGTTCATCAGATTACCTGGTCCTTCCACCTTTGCCAGACATTGCAGTGCATACAAGGAGATTTGCAGATTATTTGAGGGAAAGTGTTGCCATGGTTTGTCCTCCTTCTTTATTGGATCAGTATGCCTTCACTTTCCATTGCTGATGAACCCTTATTTGGACTCTCAGAGCTTCGAACCTTTACTTCCTATTTTGGGCTCTGGACAAGATGCCATTGTTCATCTTAAACAATCTAAGTTTTCTAGAATTTGCTTTCAACTGTTGTCTGAGGCCTATCATAGTATCATAGACCCCCTTCTCAAATTTTGGAGGATCTTAATCATTTATTGACTTCTACTTTGGTTAGGTTATAGGCTTCTACTCTCTCCTCGATAACTTGGTTGGTTTGTTGCTGAGATCTTTTGGAGAGAGATGCCTTACTGGAGGGAGTTCACCATCCTGCATTCATGCTTAGGGATCTAAGTGAAGCTCATTTTCTTAGCCTGTTTTGCAGTAATTACAGAATATATATGGAATCTTGAGTAGATGGGGCCTGTCTCCATTCTTCATTTTCTACACTTGTTTCTTGACTGCCCCAAAGTTCTTCTATAGGATGGTTTACTGCATCTCCTGTTCATGTTACCAGACCTTATGCTTCGGTGCCATGATCCATTGAAACACATAGGCTATTTTGACCTTAACAGCAGGGATCATCCTCCAGGGTGGAGTGTGGATTTCTGCTTTGGCGACTATCTTATGGGGTCTCGTCTCAGAGGATTCAGGTTTGTATGGGAGGCAGTCACCACAGATCAGTAGGTCATTCAACTTCTCAAGAGGGGATTGAGTCTTCAGCCCATGTCTCCTTCTTTGTCTCTCATACTGGTTGGCTTTCCATTCCTCAAAGACTCTTACATTCAATCGTTGAGCAGCCATCCAAGATCTTCTGCACAGACGTCATAAAGCTCCTCACCTCCTCTCTCAAGGACTTTTATTCTTGGCTGTTTGTAGTACTGAAAAAGACAGGCAATTGGCAACCAGTCATCGACCTCACTCTCTTCCTCCAGCCTCTTAAGTTTACAATGGAGTTGTTTTTTTCCCTTCAGTGGCTCTTTTCACTCAGACTATGGATGACAAAATTTGATGTTGCAGATGCCTATTTTCATATCCTGGTTGCTAAGTCTTCAAGGTGTTATCTCCGTATCATGCAAGACAACCAGGTTTTCAGTTTTGTGCTCTATCATTTGACCTTGCTTTTGTTTTATATGCAGAATTCATACTCACAATTACACAGATGACTGTCTTCTTCTTTCTCCTTTTTGCCACTTGGCAGAATTACACACTGAAACTCTTATATCAGAAGCTGTGAGAGCTGGGTGTCTTATCAAAAAGGAGTAGTATATTCTTACTCCACACAGTTCCTCATACAATTAGGGGTGTTTTCAATTCCAGGCTCAGCTGGGGCCAACCTTGAACAGGTTGAACAGAGAAAACCCAACTGTCCAAATGTAGGTGTTTCTCTACCACCTCCATGGCCAGAGATACATCTGTTCACAGATGCTTCTCTTCAGGGTTGGGGTACTTGTACAGGCAATATGGAATTCAAGGACCTTTGGACTGTAGAGAAAGCTCCTGTCCACATCAGTCTCTTAGAACTTTTAGCAGTTCAATAAGCTCGAATTGTTCTGAGGGAAGGTGGTAATGCTTCATTCAGATGATTCCACAGTAGTCTCATCCTTTTCAAAGTAAGGGGCACTCACCCCAGATCTCTTTGTTTTTGAATAATGGATCTTCTCTTTTGGGCACACAAACACCAGATTGTTCTTTTTGCTTGTCATATTCCAGGGGTATTGAATCTAGTGGCCAACCAGTTGTCTTGGGGCAACACAGATCGATACTTTCACCACACATTAGAATTCCAAGCTCCCATCTTTTTGATTTCCAGTACCTCACCCTCTGGCTTTGGAAATGGAGGCTCTCAGCTAGGATTGGAATTGTCTTTATCTTTATGCATTCTCTCAGATTCGTCTGCTCTCCATGGTTCTGGCCTGATTCTCTCCATGTCTGGTCAAGTTCTTCTGGTGGTACCATATTGGCCCAGGTTAGCCATAGTTTCCACTCCTCCAGTATCTTCAGGACTGTCCACCTCTTCCCCATCATCCTTGGCCGTCTCTCTTATGTCAGCCTCGGTTGGAGATTTCTCATCCAGCAGTTGACGTTATTTGACTTCATGCCTAACCTTTATATAGTCCATTGCATGATATCAGGGACTAACATCTTGAGTGACATCCTTATTTACACATTCCATTTAACATTCTTCTTTGAAGTTTATTAAAGGAAATGGTTTATTTATTGTTAGTGGTCTCTCATAAGTGGGTGTAAACAGTTGCATCCCACTGTGCAACATGCCTCTCAATTTTGGACATGGTTATTTGACAAAGGTTTTGCACCTTCGGCTGTTGCCCTATGTAAGGCTGCCTTATCAGCTCCTTTTCGTTTTTGTATGCAAAGAAAAGTGGTGTTGAGTCCTCAGTTTTGTCATTACTTTTCAAACATTTCTGGCTATCCATCTTCATTGCCCCATTCAGTTTCTTAACTGGGATATCACAGTGGTTCTCCTTGCATTATCATGTCCACCTTTTAAACATTTGGAGTTGTATTCACAATATTATCTTTCACTTAAAACATGTTTTTCTGTTATTGGCTAGTGGGGTCGAAGTTCAGTTGTGTTTGCACTCCATGTTCATGGGATACTGTACCATTCCAACTATGTTCTGTTGTATCCAGACAAGGTCTTTTCTACTTAAAATTGCATAAGTTAGGGAAGGAGATAAGGTTTTCTCTCCTATTCATCTTCCTTTCATTTCTCTTTCATGTCTGGATTGCCTTTTATGCTGCACTGTTCTGGCTCTCCGATGTTATGTGGCATGCACTGAAGCATTTCAGGGATCATGTCACAGGTTATTTATCCATTAGGATCCTTTGGTTCATATGACTTATCCTCTGTCACATTGATAAGTTGGATTCGTCAGTTGGTTCAAATGGTATTTTATTGGAAGAGCAGAGACTTCGAGTCTCATCTCATCCAGTTCAGCATATATAGATGTCTCTGGTAGCTTGATTGTATCAATTGCTGGAGGAAATTGTTTATGTTGGTATGTGGACCACACCTAGCACCTTGACATTGCACTATTTATATAATTTAGACAGTCTCCTCCTTGGATGGGTTTTGGCTGCTTCCCGTGGCTATTCTACACATCCCAGATCAATTGTGACAGAGGTGTGTAAGATGGTGAAGCTGGTTACTCTCCCACACTTAACCCTGGATGGTTTTCCCAGATGTCAGGTGGAGAGCCTTCTCGTAATTCCAGTTCAGAGATGACAATTCACTATGCAGTTGTGTGAGTGTGGCCTTTTTTTTGGTCATTCTCTTACTTTCCATGATCATGAAAGAGAGTCCTCAACTCCTTGTAATTTTGCACACGGAGCATGATGTCTGTGAGCCATTGGTTGAACTTCGTTTGTTCCATTTCCTCCTCCTAATTCCGGGGGCAGGAGGTTTTATCTTGCCTCCCAGGTTGAGGAGTTAGGATTTTGGTTCATAGTCCTAGGCAGGATGATCTCAGGTTGAGTGAGGTGTGAATTGGCTCTATCATCCCAAGTTTGGTTTGTTGCATTTTGAGTATCTTCAGGTTGGGAGAAGACTTGTTCGGTTAGATGTTGCTTGCCTTCCCTTCCTAATTTTGGTGGTAGGAAATGTAAACTTTTAACATAGGTTTAATTATAGTATTATATTGTCATAAATGAAGAAGAAAAAACATAAGACGTACTTCATGCTCACACACAAACAAAAAAACTAACATCTAAATGATCTTATTATTGACAATAATTTGCTTAATACTATTTAGCAGTTTTTAGAACTGAGCTCCTGAGCAGCCTTCACCTATTTAACCCTTTTGAGACGGGTCACAGGTAAAAGGCCATGTCATCTTG